TTTTTGAAAAATGGCTTTCTTCATATGTGAATTATAATTAAAGAAAAGTTCTTTATTGGAACCTATCAAAAATTTAAAAATTTTTACTTAAAAGAAAAATAATTTATCTTTCTTTTCAACTCGTTCAAAGTCTCCCCTTAATAATATTTTAAATATAATACTTAGACCCAATTTATCTTGACTGTCTTATAAATTATTTGGAAGCATTTTCTTGTTCGAGAAGATTTCCTGAGAAAAATTATGAAACTCATCCCATGGGTCTTAGCTCACCTCGCATTAAGACACTTTGATTTATTCAGAATATTAGCAATATGTTTCAATAAGCGGACCAAAAAAGAGATTTCCTAATTTTGTGACTGCAGGCCACTTGACCTCTGATTCGGGAAATTAAATTTACGTGCAATGTTTGCAACATTTATTAATTCGTTGGGCTACCCAGGGCATAAGTTATGATATCAATTAATTAAAAGCAACGTGGGGCGGTTTGTTTAAAAATATATGATTGCTTTGTATAAAAAGAAAGCGTCTCATATTAATATCATCGTCATCGGTGTATTTTCGAAATTTCCAAACGGCAGAAGAGAATTTGCCGTAGGCGTTGGCATTATTAATATTTTTCGTTTGCCAGGATATGTAATTATCTGAATATAAGTGCACAGGTTTGAATTAATGATCTGCGGTGTTACAAAAACGAGAATTCATTGGTCGTTTTCGGTTGACAAAATAACGATTTTCACCCCACTCCCTGTCAGCTTTTGGGCAACAAACCCCAAATGGTAATAATCGTCAAAAATAATGCCGGCTAAAAGTAATCATAACATAAATACACATAACAGCCTGCGCCATGCTCTTTATTTTTCTTGGGAGGGTTTCTCGAACTCGCTTAAGGGCGAAACAGATTTATGGTCTTGGATTTGTTTTTATAGAGCAAGTATTTCCGTTGTCCTTGTGCTAGTTCCTCACTCACTGTATTTGGCTATGAGAATATATGGTACTTTTATGCGTAAGAGGAAGTTGGGGAATAGATTTGGAAAGTCCTTGGCTGAGTTTGTGGAGAGTTATTGGAGCGGTACATGAAGAAGGGCTATTTAAATGGGGTCAACTGAATGGAAATAGTTGCTAGATTTCGAAAGCGAGGGAACAACAACGAAAAATATTGTATAGGACTTTTCCCATGTATTTTGGAATCAGTTTTGTGTGTTTAAAAATACATAAATCAGGGATATATGAATATTTCTGATATATACAATTTTTCGCAAGAGAATCCGATGATCTATAAATCTTTCAATAATTAAAAAAATTAAAATTTTACGTTAAGTAAGTAAAATATGTACAATAATAATAATAATTGTGTGAATATATATACTTTGTTGGCTTTAATGAAATACATTTTTAGGAAATCATTTTTGAGCAATAATTTTTTAAACAGTAAAGTTGTTTTATTTTAATATTTTTTTGACAATTTTAATTAACAAGGTAAGAAGAAAACATAGAATATTATAAACTTAAATTATAAACTTGTTGGGGGTTCTAACTATTTGATGCATCATATTCTTCTTACATGTTTAACAAAATGTTTTAAAGATTATTTTTACTTATATTTTTTGTCCAACTTTAGGAACTGTATCAAAAAGATTATCGTTTAGCAAATTAGTGTTAATTCACAACACTGCAAACTTAATGAAGTTAATCGCTGCATTACCCAGATCTCGGAAGTCTCCGTGAGACAAAGCAAAAAAAGCACATTAACTACAAACTCTTTTTTATATCTTTTCCACTCCAAATATTAAGATTTAACTCTCCATATGAGGTGTAATTAGCTAATTGCGCTAATTAAATCGGCTCGCCTAATTATAGCACTCAAAGCTTAATCATCAAAGCGAATTTATCTCCACTTTTTGTTTCTATTTTGGAAAGCAAGCATTTATGATATGTGGTTGGTTGCTGGCTGCTGCTTTTTACACTACTAACGATTACTCACCAAACTAAATTTTAAGAGCCAAAATTGCCGGCCGTCGTTGCCGCTGTTTTGGTTTTTCTTAACGATCGCCCCGCCGATCTATTTATTGTTGTTGTTCTGGTTGTTCTGGTTGCGATTGTCTGGTTTCTGAGTTCTGATTTTTTTGCTGGAGCAAAATTTGAACGCTTGCGAAATTTTTAAAAATAAATATGTTACTTTAAGAGCGCACGATTTTCCACGACTAGCCGTCGACGATTTTTCCTTCGTTTTTGGCCAGCAATAATAACAAAAAAAGCGAAAAACCGCTGAAGCCGACACAGAAACAGAAATAAACTCAACACTCAGCGTTCCCCGGGGGGCTATAGGTATGGATATTATTATACGGGGGTATGGGTATGGGTATGGGTATTATAGGTACCAGATCGACTGGACACACCGATCGCGCTTTGCTTTATTTGTGTCACTTTTTTCGTGGGTTTTCCAACGTTTATTTCGCTTGATTTTTTGTGGCAAAAAGTGCCGCTTTGTTTGGTTTGTTTTGTTTATATGCTGGGATCGTGAGATCCGAGAGATCTAGAATATCCGGTTTTCTGCAGCGCAACTTGCAGTTTTTGCTTTGTTTTTCGTTAGTCTCCGTTTAGCCAGCACAATGCAAACTACTGCAACTAACCGTAATTAATCAAAACTAACGTTCGGGCAATTTGAATAATTTTTTTGTCTTGTCTGAAGAACCTCTAGCGTCGAGTTTTCCAATTTTCTTTAGCTGATTTTGTGTTCTGTGGTGTTTTTCTTGGGTTGACCAGCCGCTTCCACGTTTTGCACGAAACTGAAACGTAAAATCTGCGAATCGCTTGCCACAGCTCTCGACGTCGACGTCGCAGTCGGCGCCGCAGTCGTGGTCGCTCGGAAAAGGGGGCGGCACAGACTGAGGGGGCGGGGCAGCGGCCAATGATGATGACGACGATGATGATAATGGCCAAGTGGAGATGGCTTCGGGATGCTCGGATAGTCACAGGCGGATGTGTTTGTGTTTGTGTTGGCCCTCCATGTGTGCGCGCTGTTTGGTTTTGGCCAAGTGTCTCGAGTGTTGGTCCATTTGAGGGCCTAAACGGTTTGGCGGCAACAGGATCATCGCCACAGAATAGCGCGGGCGTCCTAATCAACGAAGGCGATAAGCCAGCTAATTGACAGCAGCCTCACGGAACAGGAAGTCTTATAGTACACTTATAATATATTATTTGGAATACACATGGGCAAAAGAATATATATACTATGTGTATATCTCGAACCTAATTTAATCCGTTAGGTTCATTTTATCACTCCTCGAAAAAAACAATCAAAAAGGACTAAGAATAAACATTTAACAGCAAAAGTAGTTTTAAAAAGTTTTTAAAAATATTATTTTAATATTCCTTAATAATGTTGATAAGCTAATTTTATACTTTAAAAAATATCTTTCTGGGTTGAACAATAAAAAGCTTTAAAGACATGCAACCGAAAAGGTATATGGGATTGGAACGAACAATTTTTACCCTGATTAAATATAATTATTGGAAATACAGTCGTAAAAATTTATTGAGGCAAAAAATTTATACCTGCTTAATGCAGTAATGTGTTTCCCGCAAACGATTTATTTGGGACTTTTATAAGTGCGGTTTTCCCACAGTGTTAGGTTTTTTGGTAGACATTTCGTTTGCAGCGAATTTGGGAAATAATGTGTATTTTTTATCCGTATAAGTTTCCCACAAAAATAGATTATTTTATGTGCAGAAGCTCAATATGGAAATAGAACACTATTAAATATATATGATTATTCCCTTACAGGTTTTGTTGCTCAGAAGTTTTCGGGTAGTTTTGTAGGCATCTGCTAGGTATATTTTTCCTAGTAATTAGAAACATATGACAATAAACTTTTAGGCAACGATTAAATTGTAAAAACATATTTTAGATATAAGCTTTAAAGTAATTAATTAATGTGATTCAAAGTGGGCGTACAAAAAAAACAATCGATAAGTTTTAGCCTGATCTATAAGAAGGGTGTTTTTCCCCAGTGTTTTGTTTGTTTTCAGTAGACATCGAGGCAGCGGCGCTGGTGAAAAATCTGGGAAATATGTTTTGTGTATTTACGAGCCCTCCTCTGCCAGTGTAAGCAAACAGCGAGAGCGCCTCTTTAACGCTTTTTCGGGTGTTGCGTTTGCATGTTTATGTATGTTGATTTTGCTGGCCGTTGCTATAAAGGCCAACAAGGTCAGGTGCAAACGAATGTGCGAGCGACGCCTGCGTGCCAGAGTCACATTTCAGGTGTCGCACACACAATTGCCGTGTGCATTTCAATTTGATGTTATAATTAAGCGGAGGCAGGCACGAGATGTCAGCATGCTTTGGGTTTAGTTTCTGTTTGGCTGTTTTTCCACTGCGGCTGCTGCAGCAGCAGTCCTGTGTTGTCAAGGGCAAGGACATTGTTCACTCACCTCCTTGAGTGGGCGGAGAGGGCGTGGCAGGTCCTGTCCGCAGACCGGAAGCCTTGTCATGGTCACGCCAGTCTGTCAGCCATAATTATTTAAATTTCTTGCGCACTTCAAATACATAAGTACCCAACTCACCTTGCCTCCAGCAGGAATATAATTTAAGGCCTAATTTGGCGAATACGCATGAACTTATTCTGAAAACTACTAAAATAGGGTCCAAAATTTTACTGACCTCCATAGGACCAAAATATTACTTGTTTCACATAAACACTTTTTGAATTTTCCCTCCCGATAGCTCGATAAATTTTGTATAGCGTTGCCAGATTTCAGGGGACTATGTCTGTAACAGATGGCGCCACTTTTTAAAAATCGATACAAAGGTTCGAGTCATAGATTAAATTTAAGTGGAGACTCAAGCCAATGGATTGTGTCCCGGTCATTTATAATATTTCTTCCCGCGCTATAATTTGAAAGGCAGTAAAAAATTTAAAAAATCGGAAATTGTCGATAACAATTCGTGGATTTCCGTATTTCGATATGTATCGTATCTGGCCGTATGCACGTCGTGCGACCATCACTATCAGCAATTGAAAAAAAAGGTTTATTATTACGCGCAAGGAACAAACATCTCGCCTTTTAAAGGGAACATTAATCAAAAGAAAGCAAACATGCAGTTCTCCTGGATGAAGGTGGCCATATATCTTTTAACGTTCCTCACCTACGCCTATTCCGGCTATGGATCCAGCACAATAGTTCATGTGAGATACTTTTTTGGGAATCTGTAAAAGATGGTATCTGAATACCTGCATCTTCTCCCCGGATTTCAGCTAAGGGATGCTATTATTGCGGCGGAGGCAATATTTGGTGACGTGTTCAAGAACCTGATAGTTCTGGTGCGCAAATTTCGCACGGTTCATGAGGTCTTCGATGCGGCAGTGGACGAAAATTGCGTTTACCAATGCCCCGCTCCGGATAGCGGAGGGCCAGGTGCGTGACGCAAATCGAATTATGTAAATTGCCCGGCATCTATGAACATGTTTTCTTTTTGCAGCCCCTCGAGCGGTGCAGAACAAGTTCTATACCCCCACCTCCGATGGCTGTGGCTCCCTGGGTCTGCGGATCAGTACGGATTACCTGCCGGCCAAGGAGATGGAGACCTGTTGCAATGACCACGACATCTGCTACGACACCTGCAATAGCGATAAGGAGTTGTGTGACCTCGATTTCAAGAGGTGCCTCTACAAACACTGTGATAGCTACGAGAAGTCCATAGCCAGCGATCTTATGGTGAAGGGCTGCAAAGCGGCAGCCAAGATGCTTTTTACCGGAACTTTGACCCTGGGATGCCGGTCTTACTTGGATTCCCAGCAACGATCCTGCTACTGTGCTCCTGCGAGGAGCTCCTCCTACAATGGCAACAAACAGGGCACCAGCAGGGAGAGACAACAGCGCCAGAAGTATGGCTGGAAGGATCGGAACGAGATATAGTACAGGATCACTGCTTATGAGGGTGTGGGACACGAGGGGTATCTGAATAAGTGCGCGTTGAATGTTTTCGTTAACCTGTTTTGTCTTAGTTTATGAAAGGGTGTTCATATTTTTCTCCCGATTCGACGAATTTCATAATTGTATACCAAATAGTGGCATGTCCAGACTGTTGAATAAACTGATATTTTTACCATTTATAAAGATGTCTTATTTTTAAATCGTATAGTCATATACGATGCTGACGTAGTCTTTATGTCAGGATATACTGTAGGTCAATTGTTATGGGCTCGGAAAACTGAAGAAGACTTTTATTAATGCTTACGTCCAATTTCCCCGAATTTCGGACGAAGAGATTCCTGTGTCAATCCAAATATTTAGTTTCTAAATGAAGCTAATTTATACATTACTGTCATATGTATCATCCATTTTAGAATAAAAAGATTAAATCAAAATTAATTGAACGTACGTACATATATCGCTTTTCGTTGCATGTCACCAAGCTTGCGAAAATAAGGTTAACTGGTTGATCAAATATTATGTGCCTACGACAAAAATACATCATGAATAATAAAAAATCTGCCTTAAATGCTTTTAATTTTAGCCGCTTAAAAGTGAGCAGCCCTGATTAATCTTACTTAAAATCACAATAAATCGACTTTTCAGCCTTTAAACGAGTAGTTTTCCTCCCTCGCCTCGTCTTCAAGATGTTCTGATTTGTTGCCCATAAACTGTAAATCAACGCAATAGCTTTCAAATTAGAAACGGGGCATTACTTCATTACTCGATTGTAGTGAAAGCGAGGCCTAGCACGAGTTACCTATCGATAACGGAGTAAACCCAATAACTCAATTGATTAGCTGTTAGCTGTGGACTCAAGGAAGTTGTTATTAAATTGGGAAATGGAGGAATTGGATGGAATCGAGTTATTAATAAACACTGCAGTGGAGAAACGTATGCCAACCGTAGCGAAATTCGTTGATTTGGCAGCGATATCGGCAACAATCTTTCAGGAATTGAAACACTTGGCGGAGGTTCCTTGAAGGCTTAGGACCTTTGTAAGTACTTTAAGGATACTCATTTTTATTTAATAATTTATTTGAATCAAAGTAGCCCCGGCTCGGATCTTTTTGGGAGGAGGATATTCGTAAAAATTCATATGCGTTTTTCAAAATAAATTTCCGATTGGATCGAACTACGTTTACTGTGAATAGCGATTGCCTTATATACGTTGGGATCCTCTTCGGACTATAGGTAGTCTGTTTGGCGACCATCTACCAGAAGAGTAGTCAAAAACGCCTTTGGTCACCTTAAGGCACGATTTCGAAGAATCGAAAAAGGACTGGACAACAATATAAAAAACGATACCATAATAATTGCCTGCTGCTGCATTCTCCACGATTTTTGAATTACTCACAACTGCTCCATTGGCGGAAACTGGCTGACATCAGTAGACCAGCAGCAGAAGAAATAAGTTTGTATAAACAATACAAATAAAAGAACAGAATTCATTCGGCAAGCTTTGGGACAACATTTCAGAAGTACAAATTAAAAAAAATATCGGAAAAATTCTTATATACATAGTTTTTATTATAGATGTGACTAAGATTTCTTACATTTTGTAACGCCTTTCCAGGATTTCCAGCAGGCGGTTCTGGAATTTTGCGGAGTCCTCAGCCATTTTTTCCATTGCCGCGGCCTTCCTTTCCTCCGCCTCAACCAACCTCTCGGTCAATTCAGAGCGACTCTTTTTCGCTGGAGGGCCCGAGGGCTCCTCAAAGGAATTTTCGGTGGGAAAAGAAGAGTTGCTTGCCTCTGAGCCCTCGATATCGCAACTGGCCTCCGCGAATTTTAGGAACTCTGAACGAGATGTTTTTAAAAAGTGTTGAACACTAGTTGTGCTATTATGGTATTACCTTTGCTGTCGGCAGGATTGCTATTCCAAACCAGTGTAAGGCCGTGTTTCCATTATGGAAGCGTTTAACTCTTCAAATATTTTTAAAAATAGTTGTCAAACAAAATCAGAGCAACATTTGATGTATACAAATTTTTAGATACATTTTGAGTTTTGAATAAAAATAAAATAATAAAGTGATTTTTATATCAAAAATTATACCCCATACGGTCCCTTTTGCTTACACTAAAAAAAGCCAAATCTGGCGATATATAGCTGACGCGCCACCTCCACTACCCAACATACACAGTGTTGTGAAACACAGCACACACGAAACAAGCGCAGCGATTTTGCAATCCGCAGAAAAAACTTATTAATAAATAGTTTATTTATGCGGATGGCCAGCGAACTGAGGACCTAAGATGGGCTACGACGTGAATCGCTTTCAGGGGGAGGTGGACGAGGAGCTCACCTGTCCCATCTGTTCCGGAGTGCTGGAGGATCCGCTGCAGGTTTGTTTTGTTTGCAGTCGTGCAAAGTACACATACGCTATGTATACACATATGTACTGAATATATTTACCGATTTAGGCCGTGATGTGTGAGCACGCCTTCTGTCGCGGATGCATTAACGAGTGGCTAACCCGCCAGCCCACTTGCCCTGTGGATCGCAACGCCCTGACGACCGCCAACCTGCGGGCAGTGCCTCGCATATTGCGCAACCTACTGTCCAGGTGAGAACCACCCAAGGCCTCCTCCTCCTCCTCGTGAGCCACAATCTAATCTCCCACTCCTGCCAACCAGACTGTCAATTACGTGTGACAATTCGCCATATGGCTGCACGGCTGTCCTAAAGCTAGATGCCTACAATTCCCATCTGGAGGAGTGCATCCACAATCCGAAGCGTCCGTTTCCCTGTGAGAAGGGCTGCGGCTTCGACATACCCAAGGACGAGCTAAAGGACCACAACTGCGTCCGGGAGCTGCGCACCTTGATTGTTAAGCAGACAGAGAAGATGGGCGAGCTCAAGTCGGAGCTCACTGACCAGCAGCTAACAATTAACGAACTGAAGCGGGAGCTGCAGCTATTTAAGGACTTTATGCGTGCCATGCGCGTCTCCAATCCTGCGATGCGGGCCATAGCCGACCAGATGGAGCGCGACGAGGTGATCCGCTGGAGCAGCACGTTGCCACGGGCCAGGGTCACGCGCTGGGGGGGAATGATCTCTACGCCCGACGATGCACTGCAGGTGAAGCCTTGGATATACGTTCGCTGAAACTTTAACTTACTCCCCGTTTGACAGCTCATGATCAAGCGCGCCTTGTCCGAGTCGGGTTGTCCGCCACACATCCTGGATAGCCTTATGGAGTTCTGCCACGAGCGACGCTGGCCACGCGGACTCAGTTCGCTGGAGACGCGACAGACCAACCGTAGAATCTACGACAACTACGTGTGTCGACGCATTCCAGGTGACTAGGATAAATCCTGAAACCAACGGGCAACCTTTTAACACAAACTATTCCACAGGCAAGCAGGCTGTGCTCGTTTTGAGCTGCGATAACCTTCACATGACTGAGGACGTCATGATCGATCCCGGCCTGGTCATGATCTTCGCCCATGGCATCGAGTAAGCACACGCCGCTGCTTAACCACTTATCCTAGGTTAACTGCTAACTATATCGAACAGTGCTCAGTTTTGTTGATTCCTTAACTTAAGTCTAAGAATTAAAAGCAATAGTATAAGAATAATCTCTAAAATCAAACCATTCAATCGCCTCATGACGACTTTCAAGTTGTACAAAAAATTATACATTTATTTCGAATCTTCATATAGTTCGTAAACAATTTTGCATATTCCATTAAAAGTCGCATACCTAATAATACATGTTTGATTAAGCGATCTCAACAAATGTCCCTTTGTTATCGTTCACTTCATCCTCATTTTGATGGAAGAATGCTGTGAGTGTCTTAATTCGTGTTTCAATTCTTAAAATTCTGAAATATTTGTCAATACTCTTAGAATAAAATTGGAACAAGTAATAAAAATGTATTTAACTTACGTATATCATAAATTTGTTATTCAATATGGTGCCAATTCTTAACTCTCTTAATTCTCTTTCTGAAAGTTTATACTTTTAATAAAATTGTTTATTCGAGTGATCCAGCCTCTTATCAGCTGAAAGGGTAGACAATCGGCTGCATTTAGAAATCTCAGACAGAAGTTCACTGGGATGCCCTCCACTCACAGACACCAACACATCGCAGAGATCACTCCGCCTCCGCCCATGGCACCCGTAAAAGTTCTGGGCAACATCTGTTTCCCGAAAAGGAAATCCAAAAGCAACAAAAACCGGGCACCGCCGAGTTAAAAAATAAACAAAAGAAATCCAAACTAGTTCCTCCACGAGCTTTAGATGCTAACCGGTTTCGGCTTTTGTACACCCGTTTTGTTTTTTTCATAATACAACATTATTAAATGTTTGCATCTGTTACATGTGCCAAAAATCGTTTGATTATACAAGCCAGTTTTTGTCCAATTTTTTTTCGTATTTGCCGAAACATCTTGAATATTGATAGAAGCAATTAGCGCCATCGGACAAAGGGGAAGGCCCCCCGTGGCGATTGAAAAGTGAGAGTTGATCGGCCGATCGGAAAGGCTGCGATCCAACAGTTGATCGTGAAGAGGCCTAGCTAGCGGACGTGTCCAGCTGCGAGTCCCAGAAGAAAACTAATCGAAGAATACGCAATGAATCTGTCAGTTCCGGTGCTAATCGTGGCCCTCATCTGTCTGGAGGCTGCGGCGGCGTTTCCCCAACTGAGGCAGCGAAACGAGAAGCAGGTCCAGACCGGGGAGGATGATTTCCGTAAGTTGTTGCTTCAGCAGCGTTAAAGTTAATTAATAGATTCAATGACTTGAAAATATTGGCGGGGGAGTTCGCTATATTAATTTCATTTTTATGAACATAAAAGTGAAAATTAGATGCGTATAAAGAAAATAAAAATTTATTTTTAAAATAAATAATACCTAGTTTTTGGTTGCGTAAATGGTAAGCTAAGACTAACTTAAATTGTTAATATACCAAATACTCACAAAATAGTTAATTTTTTTGGACTTCGCGGTTTAATGGAATGGGAACGCAAGGTGTAAATCAAATAGAAAAATAAATCAATTTTAAAACAACATCTAATTAAATAATAAAACTGACAAAAAAAGGGAGTCATTCTCCATTCTACCATTTAAAAAATAAGTATTGTAGATACTAAGCCTACAAAATCTTTAATGACTTTCGAGTAATTTATACTGTAGAATCTAATGTTGAACTTTCTCATTTTACAGCATCTAAGGGCGCTTTAATCGAGGAAGTAGTGGTGGAATCCGCCTTGTACATCAAGCCGAAGTCTAACCCACAGGTGCGTCGCGTACGTTCTATTTTGGACCAAGTCTCCGGAATAACCCACAAGCGAGTAAAGCGTCAGTTTGGTAACCAGTACGCGGGAAATCCCGGCTTCGACGGTGGTTTCGGTGGAAATCCCGGATTTGGAGGGGGATTCGGTGGTAACCAAGGCTTCGGCGGCAATAAAGGATTCGGAGGCAATCAAGGATTCGGTGGCAATCAAGGGTTCGGCGGAAATCAGCAACTTGGTGGAAAAGTGCAGGCAGGCACATCGGCCGGGGCTGGAGGAACCAAAGCGGGCGTTGATGTTGGAGCCGGACCAGATGGCGGCAATGCCAACGCCAATGTCCAGTTGAATCCTCTGGGACCACTTGGCCCCAATGGTTACAACCAGGAGCAAGCCGCATCCAACGGAGCTGCCAACAGTCACTACAACAATGGACTTGACTCTGGTTCCTCGGCAGCCAGTGGACAGGCCCAAGGTTTCCAAACGCAGAGCGCTAACGGATCATTCGGTGCCTCCTCCGCCAGCACGGCTACTCAGTCCCAGAATTCCAGTCCCTTTGGAAATAATAATGCGGCCGGTGCGTCGTTGAGTCAGGTGTACCACCTGCCAAATGGACAAACCATCAACTTCAGCTCCACGAACAGCTTCGCTAATGGAGGTGCCAACCATGGCAGTAGCCACGGTTCTGCTGTTTCCGTCAGTCGTTAAAAACAAGTTGTATTTCACACGGAAAATACCTCCAAGTTAATCTATTGGTCAGCAATCCTATGTGCAAATGTCTAAAATATGCAAATAAATATTTATGATTGAATCTAAGATATGTTGAAATAGTTAAAATGGGAAAAAAGGGAAGGATCATGGCAAAATAGTGTCGCCTATTGAAAACTTGTAAAAATATAATTAAATTATTTGCCTTTATATATATGGTTATTATTTTCTTTTGAAAGTGCAGTCGATTTTAAATATGAATCTATTCATTTCTTCAACATTCGATTTCTAGTAATTCTTGTATTGGTTACAATTTTTGTTTTTATAAAATCCTAATTAATATTAACATTAATACAATAATTGGTGATTACAAATATATGTTCATAAAATCCTACTCGTAGTTTTTGGTGATTTCTCAATAATTGTTTTTATTCATTTTTTTACGGTCTGATAAAAATAATAAAATAATTTTCCCCAGCATTGCATTTACAAATTTGTGATACTCGCTTGTAATTTAAGAATCGATTAAAAATTATTGCCACAATTATTGGGATTAAATTGTAAAATGGTTGATCTTTATTTGCGAGACTACGCCCAACTGATGTTCCTTAAGATAACTAATCTGACTCGCTCTCGCTTTCCGACTGGAAATCGCCCACTTCAATTGAAAACTTGTACTCTTGATCGCAGCCCAAGTAGGAATCGCTCATGTAGTACAGAGTGTAGTCGTGTTTGCCCGGACTTGGGGCCACAAAGTCCAGCTTGACCTTTGCCTTCTGCTGCAGCGTGAGCCGTTTGATGGAGAGCAGGGAATTGGTCTTGGGATCTCCGATGACAACCCACCATCCTTCCTCGCGTTTCTGCGGGAAGAAGGGAGCGATGACTGGGCCGGTGACCTCATCCTCACGCTCAAGTTGAACCACCACATTGACGGTTGACCCGGAGTTAATACGATCTTTGTCCACCACCTCGTAGTTCAGCTCAATGTTGGGATACCGGTTACAGAAACGGGCCACATCAGCCATTTGTAAATCAGAGAGCTGCAGCAGGCGGGTGCGATCCTCATCCTCCAGTTCCATGATATCAAAAACGGTTTCGATTTTCTGAAAAGCACGAGCGAAACTCCATTAGAAAAGTTGTAAATTATAAAATTTTTCGAGTTTACCTTTTCTGTGCACCGCTTGACAATCTCGGGACTAAAGTGTGGCAACTGTTTCAAATACGAGTCCTTGCTCCACATGGCTTGAGTGACCATCTGGGCCAGCTCCATGGCTGCCACAGCCGGCGAGAGCCAGCCGTTCGAGCTCAGCACATCCACACAGGCCTGAATGAGGCGGATGGCCTTGCTCAGAATCTGTTCAGTATCGCCCTGCAGTTCAGGCCCCAACTGCAATCGTGAAAGATGAGCCTGGAGCAGCAAATTGGTCTTGATGTGGGGATCATTGAATCTAAAATTTGATTGGTTATGATTTTTCTGGTATAATTGGTGTATGGCTAGCTTACTTTGGAGCCGTTTCATTGGGTCCGGTGAGCTTGTTCGGCAAGCGCTGGGAAAGAGTGCGCAGGACCTGCTCCTCATGATGCCTAACCACCACATCCTCGTACTCAGCTGCAGATGAAATAATCTCCAGCAGGCCACGTACTTTCGTTTTGCTGTTAAGGGACAAACTGAAGAGTTCTAAGGGGAACAAAATAAAAGGGATTATAGATGATATTTGCTTTAATTTAATAGTTATTCTTCTTACCGATCGTTGTGTAGTTAATGTAATAGTATGCCGCAATCATGCCCAGATTAAGTGGAAGGGTGTCCATATCGTCCTCTACACTGATGCACTTTGACTGCTCCAAATCGCTTAGCGTATTCTCCACCAACTCCGAAAGATGATCGGAAAGATGGCGATGCGTGACGCCCTGTAGATTATAGTAATTGGGATTTTGGGTCAATCTCCTGTATAGGAATGTCCAGGTAAGATAATCCACAGCATCCTGCTTGTTCTCGATAGTCTTCGTCACCACTTCGGCGTTGAAGTGATCGTGCATTCGATGGTCCAAATGACTTTCGATGGGCAGCGGTTCATTGATGAACTTCTTGAAGAAATCCTTCTTGCTGCTCTGGCACATCAACACACACTTGGCATCCGCATCCTCGTTGGGGCGATTGGCTCGTCCAATCATCTGCAGCACATCCGTAATGGGGTAATCCTCATAGGAATGATTCTTGCCGTTGTAGAATTGCGTGTCCATGATGATCACCAAGTGAGCAGAGATGCTCATGCCCCAGCAGAGGTCCCTGGAGACAACAGCTACTTGCACAGCGCCGGAGTCAAAGAGTTGCTCTACAAGGCGATGATCGGAGGCGGATAGTCCCTCATGCAGATAGGCCACTCCTTGGGCTAGAGTCTCCTTCAAAGTTTTATCCGTCATTCTCTCCAGGAACGGCTTAATATCCTCCTCCTCGGCATGGAAGAACCGGTTCGGTTGCAAGTCCGAGGCGGCGTAGGTCAGAACATCAATAGCCGTGAGCCTGGCCTGCTTTCTGGACGAGACGAAAACAATCACTGGCTTGTGGGCGCTGTACTTGAGGATGGCATTGTAAACCGGCTTGGACATCGTGGCTATCCTGGTGGCATTGTGAGTGA